TTGCGGTGCATAACCCTACGGGACTAACTAAGTGCCCTCCAGCGATACGTATCAGAGGTCCGGTCCATTCAGTCATCACCTTCTTAAGCTTCTTTGCGGGAGCATTACTGACATCGAAATAGTCTGCACCAATATCTATTAGCGCAATGGCCTCAACGTCGTCGATCGTGACTAATATCTCGGAGGTAACGTCGCTACGACTGCACTTGTTCGTCAGTTGTCAGTATATCAGCGGCCTCACCTCCAGAGGTCGCTGGCTCTAGTCTTCACGCCGCGGGCTAGGTGAACGTGATCTTCGGAGATTTGATGACGGACGAGGACTCGGCGGCCGATAGCGCATCGGTGCTGTCGAACGCAACTCCCGTTGTTGCGTGTCTTGAGGTGAATAGCGTGAAGACAAGTATTCTTCGATTTCGTAGGGCCGTTCACCGTTCCGTGGGCATGGTGCATTGACTGGAAAACCACGCAGTCCCGCTCGACGATACTGGCACGCCCAGTAAAGGTGGCCTGCTTCTCCGCGGTGGTAGCAAAGGGGCCACCGGTCTACAGTGCGCCATACATCGCTCATACGTGGTCTTGCTTCCGGCATTGGTAGCGGCGTACTCGGAGAAAATGTCAGAGGCATCACAGCAGTCGCAGCCGTCCGATTCATGCGCCCGAGATCCTGTCGTACAGCTTGCGCGTACGACAACTGAGGTGGAGGCTCCGGTTGTGTGCGCTGTAGTACCTGAGGTTGTGGTTGAAGAACCGCTTGCCGCACTTTTTCGCGCACGTCAGCAAGTGAGAACATCACTGGATGAGCTTGAGTCATTTGTTATTTCTGAAGTTCTTCCCTTACGACAGCCCTCACCATTTCACGCAAGAGGTCAATGTTACTCGTGAGGGTTGTCGACGCCGCACTAACAGATGAGACGCTGACGTCTTTGTTGCTGTAGGGTCTTTTCTATCATTGTCGCCTCTGATCTGAACTCAGCAAGAGAGCGGGGTGGATTACGCACCAGGCCTGCAAAAAGCTCCTCCTTCACTCCCCGCATCAGGTGCCGCAACTTCTTTTCTTCAGCCATGTTCGGGTCGGCCCGGCGGAACAGTCGGGACATGTCTTCAATGTACATGGCGACGCTCTCGTTGTTCCGTTGGTTTCGCATCTGAAGAGCGGCCTCTGCCTTTTCTTTGCTGTCCGTGTTTGGGTACGTAGCAAAAAACTCTCTTCGAAAGTCGTCCCACGACAATAAGAAAGCTTCGTGGTTTTCGAACCACGTACGCGCAGAATCTTGCAATGCCTCGTAGACGTAGCGAAGTTTCCTGTCTTCGTTCCAATCGTTCAGTCTGGCAACGCGTTCGAAACCGTCAAGCCAGTCCTCGGAATCGTCGAAAATATCACCGTGAAATACCTCTGGTATGCGGGGTTGGCCCATCACGATATGAGATGGAAATGAAGTCGCTTGGATGGCCATTGCAGGTGCTCCGGAACTTACGTCCTCCACTGGTCTCGAAGAATCGAAGAGGGCACCAAACTCGGGCTGCTCACCTCGTAGGCGACGACTCGTGCGTTGGTGTACGGGAGTCAACAGCGCTGGCTCCAACCTTTGGGGTTCTTGGCTATGTTCTCTATCCTGAGATGGGCTTGGAATCATACCCCGTACCTCCACCAGTTTGTAACGAACAAATACAGCGCCGCAAGCTAAAACAGCTATTTATTAATGGCGAACTTGTGCCCGTCAACTAAATACACAAAGGTTGTCAGCTCGCTAGTGAAAACCTCGTCAACTTCTTCTCCTGCATCTCGCCTCGAGCTGCTCCTCGAAAAAACCGCCAGCGTTCCTTTTCCAGCGCGTGGTGTGGTGACACGTGCAGCCAGCGTTGCATGGCGCGTTTAGCTTGGCGCGTTTGGCTTGTCAGTTGGTGTGGTAGAATTCATAAGAGCAGGAAGCGGCGCAAGACTTCAGTAGGTGCCTAACAACATGCGGCAATATTGTACATTTACGGTGAAAACCCTCAAAGGAATAATAATAATGGGTCTTTTAATTTATTTATACCATGCATTGTTTGACCTGTGAATCAGTGCCAATTAGTATTTAAATAAATTATAGGCAGAAGTGGTAATCCACGTGTCTCATGGATGCTTACTATATTGGAAAAGAAGAGAACACTTGTGTCAGTGGCATGTCTATTATGCTGGTTATAATATGGTTATAATCTCTCTTGCTACCTTGATGATTGCGTAGTGATTGCAACGGGCAGTGCTAATGCGGCTGGGTAAACAGGGTCTGCTTAATGGAGCTTACTTGTGAGTAACGCTATCTTTTTTTCTCCTGGCTTTTATCTGTGCTATCTAGTATTTAAGACCCCACAGGGTCAATTTTTATAAATTACTGTTGCAAGAAAAACAGTGCAAAAAAAAGGCATCATTTTTATTGAGCATTTTTATTGATCCTGATTCTTCTGCTGTGCAGATTCTATGTTTTATCATGTGCCCAGGTTGGCAGCTTCATATGCGCATGCCTTGAAAATAATTTTCATTCAACATCCTTGTTGTGTTTTGCTTGTCTTTTTCAGTGCTGTTGTTGTTGCACACTAATGTATCTTTATAGTGATCTGCCATAATGCGTAATGATAAGTCTTAAAGTAATTAACAGAGGGTACAATCATTACATGAGAAAAAAATTTCTCTAGGATAACCAAGTTGCAGCTTAGAACCATGAGCACAATCACGCTAGGCACGGCCTATCTTTACAGAAATCACTCCACAGATGGCACACAAAAACTTCAAAAAGAAGAAGGTTCAAGGAGGGTGTTGGAACAGTGGCTAAACACTGCTTGTCTTGACAACTTTTAAATATGAATCTTGTAGCAGCATATGAGAAGAGCCAAGCACGACCCTTATCCTATGATGCCTGTGAACAAAGAGCCTCACACAAGTCGCTGACGATGTGTGTGAGCAGCAAAAAAATAAATAAGAATGTGTTTGCAGTCGTGAATCGCATTTCTAATTTAGGGAGAGCAAAGAAAAGCACTCTTTTATTAATCCACTATCAATGGTGACCCAGAAGCAGTTGGGTGAGGGAATTTACGATGCTTTTTCTCTCATCTCTTAGTGCATTCAAAGTGTGCGGAATCTAATGTCTAAACAATGTACCTTGTTGTGTCCTTCTCTACTCCTGACCTGCCCAGACAGCCCTTCGCTAGTGCCCACGTCTACTTTGTGCCTTCTGCCGCTAGGGCCATAATCTACGGGTGACATAACACTAGTCAGCACCTGTTCGCTGACGTCAGTGCTCCTGGTCATATTTCAGCGAATAGGTCACCCATATTGCATAATTATTATGCACAAATAAATATGCTAAGACTCCTTCAGAAATACTTTGCAATTATATAAACACGACATCACATAGACTGTCCTACACTGTACAAGTCTATAAGTTCCCACGTTTGTCAACCAGTGTGCAATACTAAATACCTAACCGCTCTGAACAGCTTACTTGACCAGTCATCTAAGTGAAGAAATAGTTACATATCCCAGATCTAGTGCCGTCTAAACAGCCGTAGAGCAGCGGACGAACAGGTAGCAGCAACAATGGTGAGCGGTTAAACGAAAGCGGGGACACTCGCTCCCATAAGAGCCCCGCCATCTGGGCAGGTCAGGAGGTCCTGGTTGTGTCCAATCAGCCACCGCTGATAACCCGCCATAAACATCACCGATCACCCATATTTGCACGAACTAATGTTCAAAAAGTTTTTTCAGTAAATGCCTGGAATTGAGGATATTAATTTGACTGAACATTTTGCTACTTCGCTGGAACATTATCTCTTTAGTGTTTTAATGTGTTATAATGTTGTTGCTGTTAGACAGACACGGGACCGGGTATAGAAATAAATGCAGCTAAAGTGGTTGCTTTTTCACTATGTCGTACCAATATGCCCAAGCATCTCTATGTGTCCTTCTTTGTCTGGTCTCACATTTTCCATGCTGTTTATTTTTTCACTATCTCGTATACATACATGTTTTTTTTTTTCAATGATTTCTTTCGCCCCTCCTCTTGGACCGGTCTGCAGTATCTCTAAATTAATAAAGAAATAATAAAGAAATAAAGAAATAATAAAGAAATAAAGAATTGTTGCAGAACATGACATGCAGAGCTAGGTGCTGTTTTGCACAGTGGATGTCAATTAATTACCATTACTGTCATACTAAGTTTAATATGGAGTACTGAAGAAAAAAATATTTTGTGAGCAGCATGATCATTATACTCGGTAATCTAGAAATCGCTGTTACTTTTTAATTAGTTATTGTGAAAAATATATGACCCAGGTATACAAATGCTTATCTTTAAATGCAGTCTAAAAATATTAACAGGGTAGCCAGCCGGTCTGAGAACTGGCTAACCTCCCTGTCCTTCCTCATTTATTCCTTCTCCCCCCCCTAAAGATATTACTACACTTGATGCATGAATCTGTCCAGCTATATGTCTCTCTTAATATATGGCAGTGACCACATGGGACTTAGTCACCATGATGTATATCACCACCCATTCATATTTAGATGAATTGAGAAATTGGTATATTAATTTTCTACAAATGCTGTAGTGCTCACAGAGCCTATCTTAAGTTTGGCAATAGCGTAGTTAGCAACATCTCAATGAGTACAGCTACTTACTTTAGGCGATATTTGTAACATCAAGCACTTTGTTATTACTATATTGTATGATAAATTCATAAATATGTGATATTGTGATATAACCTAAAATGGTATTCTAGTTATCTATTAAAATGCTGATGTATAAGAGGTTAAAATTTTAAGGAGTTGAGTGGACCACACTGTTGTCTTGGGCTCTGTTGAGTTGCGTTTACGACTGTCTGGTAAGATAATGCAAATTGGAGGAGTCAAAGTTTGTTACTTACCTGATTTCAGCCTCAGAAGCGTAGCATGTACCACTGTAACCTATTCCAGCGAGAAATATTTTTTTGGCAAGCTGTTCTAGGAGTGTTTCTTCTCGGCACAGGCATGATTGTGCACAATGGACGGGCTGGCACAATGGTGGAACAGTTGGCCCGACAGATACCACAGGTTGTGGTGGTGCCCAAGATTCAACCAATCACCCGCACAGTGCTGAAGGTGCACCTGGACATCACTGCTGACTTTCGATGGTGTGACCGGTATCACAAAGGGGCGGAGGCTTTCTGGATCTGGGTGGAGGACCCAAACTCTGATGAGATTTACCACTACGAATACTTCATCCTCACAAAGCACCAGGTATGCTGCTTATGTTTTGTCCACACATTACCTCAGTGACCTAATAATGAGATGTTGCCAACCATGTAAATATGGGATGTAGCCATCATTGCACTGGTCAAAAATTGCTTGCTCTCTCTCCTTAAAAATGCCATAAAAGCTTGAAAACAAATGGGTTCTGCAGACACCAACCAAAATAACAAAGGTGGAAGCACTTGTGGGGTCTCGAATTTGGCGAGTGAACGCCACGCCACGCTCTTGGAGTGAACGGACACAGCAGACGCGGTCTGAACAAACCAAACAACCACATACACTTGTTTACCTAATTTGAAGGACGATATCGTCTGTCGAATCGATACATCAATTGTAATTAACCCGCTAAGACATCCTTACACAAAATTACCATACACTCAAACAACATAACACAAGAGCACACAAAAGGCGGCGTCCCCAAGGCTTCACTCACCACGTGGGCCTACCGCAGGCGGCCCGCGGTGCTGTCCACGGCAGACCCACCGCGAGAGACAACCGTTCGTGGCAACCGCCACGCGCAGAAGAGTCTGTGAACTCTCGACCGCCACCAAGGCTTGCTTTCCGCCGGGGGTCACCACCGGCGCCACCACCATGATAATAAGAGTGGGGCTCAACGCGAACACAACGCCATCTATCGCCCGGTAGTTGTAAGCCGAAATGCGACTGTTGGGCGAGACAAGTGTGCCACGCAGCGCAAACAAATTTACAGGGGCTATCAGCACCCTCACATTTCCCCAACCTTAACTCTTTTCTTACCACAGGAAAATTGGCCTATTTTTGTATGTTACAGCTAGGAATTTTCTGTGCCGTTGCTACTAGGTGTACAGTGCCATGCAATGCATCAAAATAAAGACGAATGAACGTACTTTTGAATGCTTTTCATTTTGAAACAATAAAGAAAATTTATTTGGCACAAAAAATTCGTATACAATAAAATTATCAAATTTTCAAGAATTTTTTTTGAAAAACGAAACGATATCTTCGACACCAAATTTTTCTGAGGAATTCTGACATATACAAAATGTTTAGTAATCACAGGGCAACATTATTTAGAAGAATTGTTAAAATTGACGAAGTTGTTTTTGAGTTACAAAAAAATTGCCTGATGCATAGCGAAATAGTGAAGTTCTGAGTTGGTCCTACGCGAGATTTTTTTTTTTCAAGAAAAAAAATTTTTCAGCAAAATATTACATACCAAAATGCAAGTACTAAATGTAGGGTTCGAAAGGTACATTTGACGAAAGAACTGGCAGATCTAAACAGGTAACAAAAATTGACAAACACAAATAATTAGGTTTGTTCACAACAAACGTCGTAATGATATACTTATATCTTCCGAGTAAAAAATTATGGAAAGTTATGAGAGATGCAAAATATTTAAAACAGCGTATTGGAGTAGGATTGAAAAAATGAAAGTTATTGCTCCAGACCTTCTCGAGCTATAAATTGTGCACTACTGCGGAGCGCCATGCCGAGGTCGATGCCCGGATCCCTCTGGGGTCGGAAGTTTACGCGTCTTTGTGCTGGAGGCAGCACATCGCCCCCATATGAAGTAGACACGCTAGAAATAATAATAACAATATGTGGGACACATACAGAGCAAGTCAGCCAGCTCCAGAGCACGACAAACAAAACAGAAGGTGAACACCAAACATACCCGCGACTAACAGCTGATGTTCCCGACTGATCTGATGAAATTTCTTCATCGGAGCTAAAATCCGATGTCACCACATCGCTGTCTGATTCCTCACTACTCGAGGAATTCAAAAGATCGCTCGTCGAGGCGTCGGCATCGAGCGAAATCGCTTTTTTTCGAGCGCGCGTGGTTTCTGATGTTGACGCCATCGCGTGAATCACATGCGCTTCAACCTTTGAACGGGCGTGACCTTTAAAAATCACCGCCACGCGGTAAAAATGCGAACCGTACAGAAGAAGCAATTCTAGTGTGTGTACCATTGCCTAGATGGCGCTACAAGTCCATAGGCACGGTGTTTGTTGAAAAATAGGGGCGTGAAATCCTCGTTCACCGGTGAACGATGCCTAGTGGCGTGGTAAGGAAAGAGTTAAATCAAACCTGTTGTGTTCCAAGCACCCCTGTGTCACGAGCGCTCCGAACCCGCGAAGGACCGGTTGCTGAAACTGCTTCCAGATGTTGACTCCTCCCCTTCCCCCGCTCGGCGCAAACGAGCCACCGTCGTTTCCCCCAACAGTTCGGCCGCCGCCTCCATCCGAATAGTAATAAACTTGTTTTTAACCGTTCGAGGCTGTCTGAGCTTTTTGGACTACCGCGACCAACGCGTACGTCTATGGGCCGACGACAACACCGGACATAACAAAACCATATTCTGAAACAAAGAGATCAGCTACACAAGCTATAAACATAACCCATCTCCCTACATTATGTCCTTGCACCACGACACCGCCGCCGGTCGACATTGCTGCGCTGTCTCGCTCGACTTCACCTCAGTACCAGTCCCGCAACAGCAACGTTGCCGTCGGCGCGACGAACCGCCACTAGCGCCGACACGTCTTTCAATTCCGACCAGCACTCACGAGGGCGCCGGACTGCAGGCACTTGTGCAGGTCCCAGGCATCTCTATCGCGCAACCTCACGACCGCATTCCTGGCCAGTGGCACTGACGATGTGCAAAAGACTGCCAGCCGTGGATTACAACACTCCCGCTGCATACATTACAAAACACTCTAAAAAAATGGAGCAGGGCCTAGGAAAGGGAGCTTTGGGCTTTTTGCCCACGTCGTACGATGGTCAGTATGGCTAGCTAATACATCGGTTGCCCGCGTCGTACGATGGTCAGTACGGCTAGCTAATACATCGAGCCACCGTCGTTTCCCCCGGCAGTTCGGCCGCCGCCTCCATCCGAATAGGAATAAACTTTTTTTTAACCGTTCGAGGCTGTCTGAGCTTTTTGGACTACCGCGACCAACGCGTACGTCTATGGGCCGACGACAACACCGGACATAACAAAACCATATTCTGAAACAAAGAGATCAGCTACACAAGCTATAAACATAACACCCATCAAAAATAAAATAAAGGTCACTTTTCCTAATTCGTGCATCCCAAGATAAAAAAAATAAGTGAGGGAAGCAGAGCGCAACACCTCAACGCCACAATCCACCTAGTTGTGCCACGTGCGACAGGGGGCTGCGCAGAGCCTTAGGCCTAATGAGTCGCTCGGCAACAACTGACAACTGACCAGCACCCAGCCTAGGCGCAGAAGAAACAGCAGCGAGGAGACATCCACTCTGTGAAGTGGCCTTATCGCTCGCCGCACACAGCAGCTTACCGAGCGATCGGCGTCCACCGTACCGAATGGCGTTACGATGCCCCGGCGTCAAGCCGCAATGCCAGACAGCAATGACGCCCGGCTCCCTGAGCCCAAAGAGATAGAAGAAGCTGTTTACAGAAAATCGGACCAACCACGAGGCTTCCATACTCGCTCGCTTCGGACCCGGCCTACAAACCACGTGCTCTAGGCCTTGCCCACCCCAGGATGCAGACCGCATGGCTCTCGTCCCAATTCAACAACGGTTTTGAAAACAATCACCAACAAAAAAAGAACAACACTTGCGAGCTAAAAAAAAATAAAAACTCAACCTGCTGAGAAATTCAAACACGTTACAAACCGATCCCCTTGCTTTTCAACAGAGCACACCGCCAACGCTAGCAAAGAAGTCCCCCTAGGCCTACTTTACCCCGGTTCTAACAAAAGCTTGTGCCGAACCGCAAAAACTGTCATCCGATACTCCAAAATCCTGATGTTGGGCGCCACTGTAGGGTCTCGAATTGGCGAGCGCCACTATGCCACGCTCTTTGAGTGAACGTTCACAGAAGTAGCGGTCGGTGCAGCGGTCGGTGCAAACCAAACAACATACATACATTTATTTACCTAATTTACAACCAGGATATCGTCCACCGAATCGGTACATCAATCGTTACCAAACACGCCAGGACATTCGTACTCACTATATTACTATACACTCCATGACAAACACAATCATACGACAAAGACACAATAACATAACAAACACAATAATACACCCAAGGCGTCGTCGCCAACGCTTGACTTAGGGCCCTTACACGCGCTAGCCGCACACCCACTCCGCACATGGCGGGACCCCTGCCGCCCGCTAACGGAGAGCGAAATGGCGGCCCGGTGCCAAAATGCAACACAAGCGCTAGCCGCATGATCGGCTCTGATGCGCACTCTGGTTGGACGATGCGACGCTGTTGAGGCTGGTAACCATTTGGCGGAGCTTCAGTTTTCGAGGTCGGCAACCATCACCAACAGGAGACGACGCGGACAAGTTTTTGAATGCGTTGGTTCAAGCCGCCGCCTTTTATCACGAAAGTGAGGCTGTTGTATTTTCACAACGCGTTTTTCGGCCACAAGTGTTGCGTCGCCATAGTCATCTGTGTTCGAGGCTAATTACGCGCTCCCTTTTTGTTGTTGTCGTCGTTACCACACCCAGGTCGTACCGCTCGAGTAGCATTTGGCGCAACGGCAATCTTTTACAGCTAGCTAGAATGCGGGCGCCAACACGCACAAACGCTTTGTATTACAATGGAGAAAAGGCTTACAGTGGCAGCGGCATTGCGCGCTGCGATACCACGATGCTATCTACAAATAGCTGAAGGAATTGACTGGTCAGTAATGTTTATGATTGGGCGCTGGTGTATATCGTTGTGCGCGGCTTGCTGATGCGCTCTTTATTTTGCGCTATACAAGTTCGCATTTGCTCTATAACATGTCACAATGAGCTCGATAAGTATTGAAGTAATTGAAGTTTCAGCCTAGAAGAAAATGTTTAGCATGTGTGATATATTCATTAAAGCTGGAATTAAATGTGTGTGCATATCAAGTAGTCATGCATCATATGAGAGGCGCTATAGCTTGTTTTTTAAAGAATCTAAATATGAAGCGTAATGTGTGTTTACATTTTATTCAAAACACCTTGTTGCTGTC